ATTTTGTATAATGGGAACAAAGAAACTGTGAAGAGAAAAAGAGAATGCCCGAAGGAGCAGGCAAAATACTATGAATTTGAAGTAGAGAATTGAGAATTATCTAATTTTTAAGAAATCTAATTTCAATTAAGTTCTTATATAAATTCTAAAGTTTTTTTTTTTCATTATCTTACTTTAAAGGATGAGAAAGGAAAGAAAATGTCCACCTGTGCATGTGGGTTTTGCACAAAATGTTTTCACGAAATTTTTCCCTTAGCCAAAGAAAGGGAAACATCCTACTGTGTGTTTAGGGCTCAGATGGCAAGTGTTTTGGTTTAAAACATAATACGAATCAAAAATAACTTTATATATTTTCAGCATGATCTAGCTAGAATAGTTGAATTTATTAATTTTTTTTCCTAAATGACCTAAAATCATTGTGACAATAACAGCTAGAAGCCCACTTCTTTCTGAACGGATCTTTGGTGGAGAAAATAAAGCACCTAGAGAGAAGCCCCTGTATCTCTTGTGACAAGGCTGGGAAAGAGGAACCTGTGATTAGGTAACCCTTCTTGAAAGGAGCAGGGCAACATCATAAAAGAGCTGAACCCAGCTCATAAACTGAGACTAAGAGTTTGGGGTTCCAGCCATCGTGTCTGGATGCTGCTGCACAGAGATTCAATGCTGCTCTTTCCTCTCTCTCCCGGACAGGAAATAAGGGAAACCACATAACCGAGCTGAAGTCCAAGACAGGTCAATAATATCACACACAGAATTCTCCCATCCATCCCAAGGAAAAGAATGTTAATTCACGAAGAGTATCCTCCCTTAGTCCTAGAATGGGAGAATAAAGAGCAGGTAGTTGGTTCCTTTTCTTTTTTGTTCCCCAAACCCAAATAAATCAACTGTTTTTCATTGTTTGTAGGGGCCTGTCATAAGGACTGTCCAGTTCAGCAGAAGTCTATTTATAGGGGCCTGTAGTAAAGACTGCTCAATATGGGAGAAGCCTGTGTGTGGGTGGACCAGGAAGAAATATTCTTCCCAGTCCAGAGGTCAAGTATATAACAATTCATATGGGGAACTGAGACTTTATGACAAAGGCAAAAGAAACTGCTATGCAAACAAATCTGCTTATGTAAGCTAGTCGGATATTGACAGCAGAAATTAAAGCATAGGCTTATTTATCACTTAGAAATTTTAATATGATCACCTAATAAAAGTTGTAATTATAGAGCATTTATCATATAATATGGACAGCACTAAATAGTGAAAACAATACATAGAAAACAGAATGTTGTATATAGACAACATCCTGTCCTTTAATGTTTTTATTTCTAAATATGAATGAGTAAAAAAGAAAACAAATAAGGCCGGGCGCGGTGGCTCACGCCTGTAATCCTAGCTCTCTGGGAGGCCGAGGCGGGCGGATTGCTCGAGGTCGGGAGTTCGAAACCAGCCTGAGCAAGAGCGAGACCCCGTCTCTACTATAAATAGAAAGAAACTAATTGGCCAACTAATATATATAGAAAAAATTAGCCGGGCATGGTGGCACATGCCTGTAGTCCCAGCTACTCGGGAGGCTGAGGCAGAAGGATTGCTTGAGCCCAGGAGTTTGAGGTTGCTGTGAGCTAGGCTGACGCCACGGCACTCACTCTAGCCTAGGCAACAAAGTGAGACTCTGTCTCAAAAAAAAAAAAAAAGAAAGAAAACAAATGAAACACTAAACTCACAAGCTTAGAAAGAAAACAACTACAGTAACACAAGCTGTGGAAAAACATTTAAGATAATGTAAATTTTTTCTTCCTATTAAGCTGAATTCTTTCTCTCTGAAGCTATTAACTACTGCTTTAAGAATCACTATAATAGTTAATATTGAAGTGCAAATCTCTTAAATGTCACCGGATTTACATATGCAGTTACCTAGAATCATTTACTGCCTTATTTCTAGCAAGTAGTCTCCCTAGGAGCAGTTCTGTGTCATTGTGGTAATCCCAGTGTCTAATTCAGTGCCAGGAATGTTATTAAATGAACATTTTTAATAAATGAGTTCTAATGCCATACATCTTTAAAAAATATATATATATATATATATTCTTGATCCAGTCTGTCAAATAAATATTCTGCCAGATATAATCCTTATTAGGGTTTCTTCTCATTCTTAACTTTTCAGTGCAGAGAATTCTCAAACTCTAAAAGATAAAAGCATATCCATCACGGCTTAGAAACAATCCCATTGTACTTTTCCTTACATCTCACCTTGACTAATTCTCACATGCACTTCAGAACTATGAATAATGTCTTTATGCAATTCATGTAAGGCACAGAAAATAGGTATCATTATTTCTGTTTTAATGACAGATTTTGAGGTTAGGGTGACTCATGAACAGCTGAGCAGCCAGTCAGTAGGAGAAACCAAAATAGAACGGAAACGCCTCCATTCCCACCCCCACGCTCAAACCTCGAGTGCACCCTCCTCGGGATTGAAGCGTGATGCGCCTGTGAGTGAACGGGAAGCGCTTCCTGCAAGTTACTGAGCTGGCAAGTGTCGGAGGCGCTCTGAGCTATCCCTGGTGGTGATCAGCGAGCACACCCCACTCTCCTGCAAGCTGACAAAAATGGCAGGGAGGGAGAAGGCAGAGAAGCAAGCTCCTTAAATGCCGAGCTCCTTTCATTTTGAGAAGGCTGTTTCATTTGCCGTTAGCTGAGTAATTTTTCAGAAATCATCAGCCAAATCACCTGAACTAAATGATTTTGTTTTTTCCTCCCAGTGACTGTAACCTTAAAATGCAAGCTACTTGGTGTGTTAGGTGTGTACAGCCCAGCCTGTCTTATTTTCTGGGAGGGGAAAAATATTTTATTAAATGGGTTTCTTTGATTCTTTTATGCACACAATAAAAGAGTAGTGAGTCATGCTTTCATAGCAGCCTCTATATCTAAATGACTCTTTAAAAGCAATCAACAATAGAATATAGCAGGTGTCACTCTTTGACCTGCAAACAAATTATTCTTGGAATTCTTAATTAAGGAGCTTAAGAATATTCTTAGAATACTTAAGGAGCTTAGAGGTGATTTTTAAAGTGCGTTTAAAAAATATTAACTTGCATCCTGCATCCATAAACAAAATGGCCTTGAGTGGTGGAATGGAGAGTTACATCTGTAATGTGTTTGATAAAGTCGAGATGCACCTCTCCCTCCACCATCCAATTCAAATAATAATGTCATCCAATGCAAATACTAGTTTCCAGTAACCGGAGTCATTTCTTTTCCTACACCTCTGTAACTGGAGGCTTGCAAGTCTATCTTTCTCACTGAGACTGCTTTCATAATTCCAGTGGGCTGGGTTCTAAGAGAAATTTTATAACTGTTTTCCTCTCCACCAAGCCCTTTGCCAAAGCACTATAGCTTACAGCAACCCACACCTCACAAATATGAGGAAAGGATAGTCATGAAAACCTTTGCTTAATTCATCAAAAAAGTTGTGACTCTTCCCGTCCTCTCCAGCATTCTCGTTTAATCACCTTCCATATCCTTCCACCTCTGATGCCATTTGTTCAATTTTCCCTGGTGCACTGTCAGTGCCTTTCTCTTTATTATCATTGATTTCACTACTCCCTGAATTTAAACTCCCTGAGTTGTTTTAGGGTCCCCCACGTCCACCCATCCTACCTCCTCTTAAAAACAAACATGAGTACAAAGCAGTCCAGCCATTGGCCAGCAGGAGAGGAGCTCCTGAATGAGAGAAACACTTCACCAGCAGAATTTAAACCAGACACGTTAGGCTCACATTTGGCCGTATAAGAACAGCCCGAGTCTGATAGAAGGACTTCAGCCAAAACAGAAGGTGCTTGTGGTGAGACGGCTGATACGGTCAGGCTGGAAAAACCTCTCCACTGCTTCCTGTGGGCACCTGAATTCCACAGCCTTGCAGATGGCGGGAGTCATTGAATAACGATTCCTCAGAGTTTTCTGTGTGCTGGCCAGGGACCTCGCACATGGCGTGTAGGTCAGGACACGATGATTTCAGTTCCTTGAGCAAACTCGGATAAAACAGGGTGGAAAATGTTTCTAAAGCAAAGTTTTCTAGTTAGTAAAATGTGACACTATTCTAGTGTAATCCAGCAGGTAGGAGTTTGGACGGCTTCCCAGGGCTTCAACACGCTATATATTTGACGTGCACAAGAGGAGTTGCTCTGAAGACATGTATTTTCTTATCCTTTAGACTAATCCAACGGAAAAATTATATTTGGCCCATGGATCCATTTTAAAGCCCTTGTATCCACACAGAGTTTGATGGTAATTTACTTCTTTCTGGAAGCTATGAGCACAGTGCGAATCCTGAGAAATTTTAATAATGATATTTTAGTTATGTTTAAGGTGAGACGTGGCAAAGTCATCTGTATTTGGAGTAAATCCACTGTAGGAAATAGATTCTCGAGGCAATTCTTTGCATTTTGTCCTGCACACCTTCCCTAATCTAAAATTTTGCAAGGTTAGTACAGCACCAACTGGGTACACATTCATTTCTCCCAATCTAAAGGGGGAATTTGAGGTAATGGTTAAAGTGTCAGAAATTGGCAATGGTAGACGACAGCTAAACTTCAGAATGCAGTGCTCTCTCTCGGAAGGTAGAGCTGTCACTGATCAACCTCTAAAAATTCTTACCCTGACATCCATGACCTCTGCACACCCTGAAAGTATAAGCCAAATAAGGTCACACGATTTGCAAAGGGGCACATGACCCAAACCTAACATCTAGAATCTTCTTCTTTAAATTTTAACTCTTGTCAAGGATGTGCTGTTATTTTTCCCACTGCCATTACTCCTTCTGTTCAGTTCAGCCTATTCCCATAAGCATTCATTTTCCATTAATTCATTCATTCAACAAATATATGCTAAGGGCTATGATGGTGCAGGGCCTGTTCTGCATACTGGGAACAGAATAGTAAAAAGAAAACAAGATCCATTGCTTCAAGAAGCTAATGGTCCTCTTCCCCTCAAGCGGCCGGAGGCGATTCATGAAAATGGTTCACTATTCACTTGACCCAGAAAACCCCACAAAATCATGCAAGTCAAGAGATTCAAATTTTCATGTTCACTTCAAGAACACTGGTGAAACTGCCCAGGCCATCAAGGGTATGCATATACGAAAAGCCACCAAGTATCTGAAAGATGTCACTTTAAAGAAACAATGTGTACCATTCCGACGTTACAATGGTGGAGTTGGTAGGTGTGCCCAGGCCAAACAGTGGGGCCAAAAAGAGTGCTGAATTTTTGCTGCACATGCTTAAAAATGCAGAGAGTAATGCTGAACTTAAGGGTTTGGATGTAGATTCTCTGGTCATTGAGCGTATCCAGGTGAACAAAGCACCCAAGATGCGTCACCGAACTTACAGAAGTCATGGTCGGATTAATCCATACATGAGCTCCCCCTGCCACATCGAGATGATCCTCACTGAAAAGGAACAAATTGTTCCAAAACCAGAGGAGGAGGTTGCACAGAAGAAAAAGATATCCCAGAAGAAACTGAAGAAACAAAAACTTATGGCACAGGAGTAGATGTAACAAAATAAATGAAAATAATAGTAAAAAAAAAAAAAGAAGCTAATGGTCTAGTAGTGGGGGAGTTCACAAACTAGAAATCACATAAACGAGATAATTTCAGATAGTGATAAAAGAATAAAATAATTTAATGAATTAGAAAGTAACTAGAGATTCCTTTATCCAGGACAGTCAGGGTAGGCCTCCCTGAGAAGGAATTCTTTCAGGTTTTCCTAAGGGCATATACCAGGCTGATCCTGGCCTCATCCGGTACAGTCTGACGATGAAGTATATTTCAAGCCTAGACTTGAAGGATGGTTGCTTGAAACTCAGGAAATCACAGGAGTTAAAGAGTAAGTAGGGGAACAATAGAGCTGAGAAAGAATTTGACATGATGAAGAAACAAAAGGAAAACGCCATGACAAGGAAGTGGTGAGTGAGGGAGAGACAGATGAAAAGTGGGCAGAGACCAGATGTGGCTGATCTTGGAGGTCGTGTCAACAATTGGGATTTAACTTTAAGAACAGCAGGAGGTCACAAGGAATTCTGCGGGGTGGACACATGGTCAGATTTGCATTTTAGGAAGGTCCCTCTTACTATTTAGAGGAGAAGACTGAGATGATTGGAAAGTCTTCAAATGTTCGAAACAGCCCAGGCCAAGAGGTATAAACCTCATCAAGGGTTGCAAGACTCTGAGCTTAATCTGTTTCCAGCCCAACCTCAATCTACTGCATAGGGAAGTTACACATGGGAATCAGATTATTGTTTCCTAGGTGATTTCTAGGAACCCACACTCCATCTATCTTTTTGCTCAGCCAACCTGAATATGTGAAGTCCATTAGATGGCTGAAGATGGTTAAAGATGGCTGTTGGCTCTAGTCACCATTTCTGAATTAAGCCAGGAGGAAGGAGGAATAGAATTTAAAAAGAAAGAAAGAAAAAAACCATCCTCCTACCCCTTAAGAATATGTCACTGAAGTTTTACACAACACTTCTGCTATCACATAATTGGTCAGAACTTAGTCATAGAGCTACATATAGTTGCAAAGGAAGCTGTAAGGTGGCTATGTGCCCAACTGAAAATTGCTAAGGTAGATGAGGATGGCCTTAGGTCCCATTGCCTTCAAATCTGGGACTTTTAGAGCAAGGGTATAAGGTTGATCTGACATCCTTGAGTATGGGAGAGAGGGAGGAGGCGTGAGGGCTGATGGGATCACAGATGACTTCAGACCCCAACCCCTCCAAAGTTCTATGCCAGTTATAAATATGTGCTTCTTTGAATTATTCTGGGAAGAGTCACTTTTATCATAGTCTCAGAGAAATCTCTTGCTTCCCCTATATTCTGCCAAAAAGAAGGAAGCTTTTAAAAATTTTAATTATAGGCCAGGTGCGCTGGCTCTTGCCTGTGATACTAGAACTTTGGGAGGCTGAGGCAGGAGAATTCCTTGAACCCCAAGTCTGAGGTTGCAGTCAGCTACGATGATGCTACTGCACACTAGCTGGGGCAACAGAGCAAGACTCTGTCTCAAAAGAAAAAATTGAAGTATAAAGTGCAGTGTTAAAATCTCACTTCCTCATTTATGCCTATATTGTTTCATGGATTGGGGGAGGAGAAGTGGACAAAAGGGAAGGGACAAAGTGGACAAAAAGGGAAGGGGAGAGAGAGAGTGAAAGAGAGAAAGGGAAGAGAGAGAAACTCATTCCCAATTTCTGCAAGAAGGAAACAGTATTTCTTAAGGCACAAGCTAAATTAAACTTGGTAGAGCAGGAGGGACTGATGCTTGTTCTGCCTTCTTGTCCTGTAATCATCTTAGGAGAGGGTATGGTTTACAGGGATAAGCATCAACTCTGACGAAGTAATGAAACAAATGAGAAAGCCACACTTCATCTAAACACTGCAGATCAAGGTTAGCCCTCCTCACCCTCTCATTGAAGACGCCTGCCACATGAATGATTCATGGTGAACCATCAACTCAGTACAGTCACTGCGAGAACACCAAGGGTTTGCTTACACATAATTACTCAGAACTGAGTAGGAGGAAATCCCTGTCTCGGATCATGGGAGATAATGGAATTCCAACTAAGGATGCCTTGGCAAAGTAGAAGTACTTTCTCTTGGACCTTTGAAATCCTTAATGAGTTGAATCATGTCAAGTAACAAAATAAACAAGGATGAGAAACATCAGTTGGGTTCGGTCCAAAAGTCTAGCCTGCTTAAGATTGGGCTTCCCCCATCGTTGCTTAAACATTATACAGTTTTCTATCAGCCAAGCCTGTGGTTTTATTTCATTTTTTTTTTCTTAAATCAGATTTCAAAAGCCCAGGCACTAGCTGATAGTAATTAGTAGGCATTGGTTGAGGTTCATTCTTGCTGTTCTTTCCAGGCATGCATAATTTTTCTGAAGAGAAAAGAAAATCCAATTACCCCCAAATCCAGCCAGTGGTGGCTCATCTGCTCTTGTGTTAGATCTTTAGAAATGGTTCTTAACAATTGAAAGGAAGACATATGGTACTTGAGAACAGCATCTTGTAACCTTGTTTATAATATTAAGAAAAAGAGCCCAATTCTGTGACCATTTACATCCTACTTTACAAAAACCTGACGCAAGAAATGTTGATCCTATAACACATGCGACATAGAGACTTGCTCATATCATAAAGAATTTATTGGAGATTTTATTTCTAGGGTCCCTCTTATATTTTTTAAGTATTCCCTTAAAAATGCCTGACTTGAAACTGTCCAGGAACACTTATACAATAAAAAGTAAAAACATCTGATAGAATGTTGGAGGACTCAGATTCTTCAAATCTGAGAAGATAGAAATTTCTACTCAACTTTGCAAAGGTTGGATCTATGACAAAAGATTTAGTAAATAAGATTATTTCATTATTTAAATTACTCCTCGAAATGCTGGTTAATTTCAGAAACTTCATTGATTTTACAGTTTCTGAGAATGCTTTAGTTTTATAATAGTAGATACTAAACAGGATTTTGGTAATAAACGATATCCTTTATCATTGGATTAATATTTTGTGGTCATAGTTTTCTTCTGTATATATTTATCTCTAAAGAATAAATATGACATTAAGGTGAGTCATACTAAAACTGCTTTTATCATTTTTGCCCAAGGAAATTTTCTTACTGCAAGTGAAAATTGTAAAAGGAAGCCAGAAAAGTTCAGATTTACATTTTTAAATGAGCCTGCTTTGACCCCTTCTGATATAAGCATTCTTCAACAACACTTTGTGTTTATTATGGATTTTCATTACCACAAATTAGCAGATGGGCATCTTCCAGGGTTGCAAGACCCTCTTTGGCTCCAGGGAATTTTCTAATACTTATATAGCAAGACAGTTCTCTGGTTATAAAAACTTTTTTTTCTCATCTGGATAATAGTTTGATCATACCACGTTTCTACTAATGGACTAACAGACTCTGACACTTCACAAAATTAAGTCCAAATTCCTCAACATAGTTCACCGGGCTCCCACCATGGGACCTCACTGTTTGTTTTACTTCCTCGTGGAAGTCAAAACCCACCTTCTGTTCTAGTCAAGGAAGTTTTCCTGCATTCAGGCTGATTTTCTTCCCAGAGCTCAGGCTATCCCATACCCATTCATCTTTTCATGCATCCAGTCTGTCATTGCATGAAAAGCCTGGACCAGGTGCTGCACTGGGCATCCTGACAGCAGATGTGTGAATAAGGAACCATCTCTGTCTTGGAGGAACTCACAAACATGTAAACAAATACATAAAGTAATGCAGTGAAGTAAGGGCATTCAGGATTAATTAAGGAAGAGATTTATTTTAACCAGTGACATAACAGAAGAGGTAATAGTTGATTTTTACCTAGAAAGATAAACAGGCCTCTACCATGAGCATTTGGATTTTGTCTGGTAAGTTTTTGATGTCTAGTTACAGGCCTTTGAAAATATTTGTTGAATGAAAGAGCTAACAAAATACTAAGCTTGAATTTTTTTTTTTTTTTTTTGGTTTTGGTTTGACATATTTTTCTTCCCTAGTTCTTGCAGAAGGCTTCTGAAGTTGGTAAGGCTATTAGTGCTACACAAATAAGATATACAGGCCCAAAGGAAGTTGACCCAGTAAAGTGGAAGATCTGAAACCGCATCTATTCTTCTGACTTAAGGTCTTTGTTCTTTCCACTCTGCCTTTCCACCTCCCTGACTGTTCTTTTGAATTTCCTGACACTCCCATCACAAATGAACTCAGTGAGGGTATTCAATGAATATTATTTATTGATAGAGAGAGGCATATAACTTTGATGTCGAAATTTTAATACATATTTTCCAACCACTGATTGTTCTTTTGAATTTCCTGATGTGCCCATCACAAATGAACTCAGAGAGGATACTCAATAAATATTATTTATTGATAGAGAGAGGCATGTGACTTTGGATGTCAAAATTTTAATACATATTTTCCTCACTCCAACAGCCCCTAAACTGGGCCTTTATTCTTCTTTAATGTGGTTTCTTGCCATTTCCCCGTCTTTACACTTCCTGAAGCAAGGATAACCGCTTGCTTGTATGAAAACAAAAGCATGTAAACTTCAGGCCAACAGTTGTGCCCATGATGAAGAATCTAGCTCCTGAGCTATAGTCAGAAGAGCGTTAGGAGGAGGAAGAAAGGAAATAGACAAATCCTTAGCCATAGGAACTTCTCAGAAGCCACTTACCTCTTAGACAAGTAACATCAACATCTCTGCACGTTTTCTCTATAGCCCTAGCATGTGGTGTGAGACCTTTTAGTTGCACAAGTGCTACTTTCAGCGGTTCGAGGCCACAGCAGGGATCTTAATTTCCATGACTGCATTAATATACCCCTTAGAATTACTCTTTTACAGAAGGAACTGAAATTCTCCTCACTTATTGTGAAGTTTTTCCAGGTCTTTGTGCTTAAGCACGTGCCAGCTATTCTACAGGTAAGGCTTGGGATAATGACTGGGGAGCAATGTTCTCCCCAAATTCTTGCTTCCTTTTCAGGGATATTTCTAGAACATTCCATTGACCCTTTGTGCCGGGAG